GGATATAAGTAATTAAATAGAAAAGAACCTAGGTATCCTTTATCCAGGGGGATAAAGAAGTTGACTGTAAAACAGTAGTGAAGGACTGCTAGCTGTGTGTCAAAGTAATTAGCCTTTTATCCAAAGAGATAAAAGAAGTCAACTGTAAAACAGTAGGTAAGAGACCTAGCTGTGTGTTGAATAAATAAATAACCGAATAAACTAGAAAACTCAGATTGCACGCTCGCAATACCATATAAATTGATGTCAAAACCTTGTGTTAACAAAAATTATATAAGTTAGTGAATTCCATACAAAAAGTCTATATTAAAAATTGTTTTTTGATTGATGCTACTGGCAGGCTAAAAAGGACTCATTCTCCACTAACTTTACCAAATAAAGCTTCCACTTGTATAGGAGTTTTTGTAAATTTACTAATCATATTCACTTTATGGCCCATTCTTGACCTAAGAAAAAGATTTTTATTATTGTATCCTCTCCTCTTGTGTTGATACTGATTGTATCTCTTCTAAAGATGGCTCCTCAATTAATTGTGACTAGTTGCAACTAATTGTGGCATATGAAAATTGAATTGTGGCTAATTGCAGTTCCCATCTTTAATCTCTCCCCTATAAACAAAGTTGTGAAGGATATAAATTATTATTCTGCCTTTTTTTGTGTAAAAACAATACAGAGTAACTTACCATCAACCATGTATGAAATCTTTAACAACAATACTTTTATATAAGGAAATAGAAAAGTCATTTTTAGAACATTGTTAGAACAATTTTTTAGACAGTCCATGTTTGGTTTTCTATGCAATAATAAAAAAATAAAATTAGCTCTTCAAATAATATTTATATATATCAAGTTAACAAAACCTACAAGTATTGAGTATTTATACTGAGCTTTTTATACTCATCACCTAATGTAATATTACAACCATTATTAAAGTATTCCTGTAGAGTTTCAGGAATTTTTTAGAGAATTCATTCACAGCAAACAATATCAAATGTTTATCAGGTATTTTTTCTATACAATGTTTCATGGATCAAATCTAAAATGCCTCAGTACTCTGGTCTATAAAATATTATATAATATTTTATTTAAATAATCAGGAAGAATTCTTTAATTCTTAAATAAATAGATTATTAAACATCAACATAACAAGCATATTATAACATTAAATCTTGAATGTAGCAATTACCTTATTTAAGTGGTTATTTGATGATTTCATTTCTTCCTGAAGTTATTCATCATCAAATGAATCTAATATTTTTATTTGTTTTTCTTCAACTTCAAATACCATAATAATAAAGTCTCAAAAGATAGCACCCACTTTTTACAACTGTTTATAACTGTGTAACAAATGATTTTCAATTGTTTTAAGACTTTATGGTATTTTGTTCTTCTTCTGATCTTGTATTTCATCTGAGAGATGTACTCTAGGGTCTTCATTTCATTTTCTATAAACGTTTCCTCAATAGGTCTTACATGCTTCTGATTAAATCCCTACAAAAAGATATGATAAGATCAATTTATTAGTGTCTTTCATTAAATACTTCCTACAAAGAAACAATACTTTTCATATCAGGGTAAAATTAAGAGATGATGATAATTTTGAAATTTGTTAGTTGCTATGTAAATACAAATAAAGTCAAAAACTAAACAAACAAGTTTCTAAGAACTAGAGTGACAACAACCACCATCCTTTTAAATAAATAATAACACTTGGAGGTTCCCTAGCAAAAGATAGCTTAAGTGCCTTCTGATCAAATTGAGATTTTTGCATAATATGTGTTTATGTTATAGGGATTATGCTGGTGAAAAAATAAGTCAGTAAAAAAATGAGATACAAAGGCTTGAAATTTTTTAATTTATATACCAAAACATGTGTAACATATTTTACAGGGATTGTTACTCAAAAAAATTTATAATAATAACTTTTGCTATGGAACCTCCAAACAAATAATCCAATTTGCTAGAGAATTCTCTAAATTTCTCCAAATGATTATAACATTGTTCACAATATTGGCTATTCAATAGATAATACTTTGGAATTTGAAGTTATGAACCTGATAATTACATTACAGCATGGAAAGATATTTATCTGATGAAACTAACTTATTTAGTTATGCTAATAAATTGAAAGAATTTGAAAGGAAAGATTTTCATTGGTTTAGTGTTTTAGATGGAACAGAAATAGAGCCAGAAAGTGTTAATTAAAAATGACACAGTGTATCATTTATAAAGAAAGGCAAAAATTTGAAAATCAGATGCAATCAAAGCAAGAGCAAATGCAGGGAGCAAATTTCCTCCAAAGAAAATTAGCAGAGAAGCAAGCAGAACTAAATGAAGCAAATGTTTAGCTCATCAGGATATTGAAAATTTAAGAGAAGATGACTGTTATAAAAGACAATTAGATAGTGAGGGTGTCCAAAGAAGAAATGAACTATTTGATAAGATGAGAAATTAAACAATGAAATGAAGAAAGTAAATGGCAACCAAATTAGAGATAACAACTAACTAATAAAAAAATCAATTACAAGTAAATCATGACAATTTACAAAATAATTATCAAATTTAGCTAGTGAAATAGAAGTTTATATTAGCAATTAAATGAAAAGAATAGAGAAATAAGTGATTTGAAAGGTGAGATAACAAATTTAAAGCAAGAAATTGAGAACTTGAACAAATCATTGAATAATCCTGAATAAGAAGAAATCAAGTGAAGAACAAAAAAAAAGGAAATTCAAGATGAAACTAACTAATTAGAATATGAGTCAAGTGGATCTGCAACGAAACTAAAGCAATACAAATATAAACATGACCAATTTATTAAGTAAAAGACAATGCAAAAATTGATCATGAAAATAAATAGATACTAAACTTCAGGAAGTAAGACAGTAATATGATAAAACAAACTGTATGAGAACCAAAAACAGGGAAAGAAGGTGTTAAAGGAAAGAAATGAAGATGCAAGCTGATTATAACAATAATCAACAATATTGGAAGTTAAAGAATAAAAATAAAAGATTTAGAGAATGACTATGATAATGAACAAAATGCAAAAGAGAAAAGAAGCAATAATCAACAATTAAAGAATAATATTGTTCAATTAAAACAGTAACTAAAATATTTAAATAATAAAAATTTATTCAGGAACTTCAGAATAAAGTTAAAGAATAGAGAAGCAAAAACCCGAATTAATGATGGCAGTCCAAGCTCAAAAACAGAAAACAAGCCAAAACAAGCCAAATAAAGCTTAAACAATTGAGAAAGTAAAGGCGAGAGAAGCAATCCAAAACATGTACAATGGTGATGATTAAATTTTGAGCCTTGAAATCCATATATGATTCAATCATGTGATACCATTGTGTGTATTGTGACATAATGTTCACTTATAACTTAACTATTACTATGCCATATAATAGTTGTCACATTCTTATATGGGAAATAGCCGTGGAACATTTATGTGATAATTAGAAAAAAAAGAAATTTAATATTATAAATAATAATAATAATAAAAATAAGAAAAAACAATTATTTTTTTACTTGTCTTTTTGTTTCCTTTATCACTTGTAAAACTTACTTTTTTTTTTTTAAAAAAAGAAAAATTCCAAATACCTAACTACTAATTTACTACTTAACTACCGCAATTACTACTGCTACTGCTACTTGAATTTAACAATATGGCATCTCCAACACCCAACAGACAAAATCCTCAAGCACCTAATAAGCTTTTTCAATTCAAGCTTGTTTTATTGGGTATAGTGGTTCAGTTTATTTCTGGCACGATCTTATTTTAATAATTCTCCCAATTAATGTCGTTGCTGTAATTGTTGCAATTACAACGCATTGAATGAATTACCATTCCACAATTACAATAATTGCAATAATTATAACATGCTATTAAATATAATAATTTGTACTTTTTTAATATATAGGAGAATCAGCGGTTGGTAAATCAAGGTTTGTGTGATTTTGGTGTGTATTAATTAAGAAATTGACGATAGTAACATCTAATCAAAATATTTGTAGTTTGGTGATGCGATTTGTTAAAGACCAATTTGAAGATTATAAAGAAAGTACAATTGGAGGTAAAATATATTGTTTATTTTTTTAATGAAAATTTTCATACAGTTAATAATAATTTTTTTTTTTAAATTAGCGGCATTCCTTACGCAAACAATTAATATTGATGATAAGACGACAGTTAAATTCGAAATTTGGTAATAATTCAATGATCAATGGTGGATTCTTTTAACATTTTTTATTGCTTTATTGATTAATGTTAATTATTTATTTAAAATTCATTTAAATTTTGCCCTTTCTTTTTCATTCTTTTCTTTTTTTAAAAAAATCACATAAACATAAGGGACACAGCAGGCCAAGAACGTTACAAGGTGAAAATAAAATAAGAAATTAAATCATATTAAAATAATTATTAAATAATAATAGTATTAATTAATTAATTTCGGTGTGTGTGTGAAAACAAAAAATGAGTAGTACATTGTCTGACTGAAAGAGTTCTTTATTATATTATTATTATGATTCTCTCTATCTCTATCCAATCCGATCCAATCCATAATCAATCAGAGTTTGGCTCCAATGTATTATAGAAATGCAAATTGTGCTGTAGTAGTATATGATATATCTCAAGCAGTATGTATTTTAAAAGTATTATTTTATATGTATATTGTTTATTTATGTATCCATTACTAATTAATTAAACCAATTAATTGGGCAGTCTTCTCTCGAGAAAGCTAAAGCATGGGTAAAAGAATTACAGAGACAAGCCGATCCAAATATTATTATTGCACTTGCAGGAAATAAATGTGATTTGAGCTCACGTAGAGCAATTGAAACTGAAGTATATTATTTAATTTTTTTAATGATATTATTATAATGGCAATTATATTACATAAACTACAACAAATATATAATAACTGTTTACATATCACAGGAAGCTAAAGCTTATGCAGATAGTGCAGGACTTTTGTTTTTTGAAACTTCAGCTAAAACATCTCACAATGTTCGTGAATTATTCACATCAATAGGTAAGTAATCATTACAAATATTATCATAATTACAATTAATGTTATAATAATTATAATTACAAACCAAAAATGATTTTTATTTATCTCCCAAATCGATTTTACAGCAAAGAGATTACCTCTTGATCAATTGGCTGCTAATTCACGTGGAAGATCCGGATTACATCCTAGAGGTGGAGTTGATTTATCACGTCCGCCACCACCAAATACTGCTTGTAATTGTTAATCATGAACTATATAAATAAATATAAATAAATAAACGTAAATAAATAAACCTAAATAAATGAAATATAAACATACAAGTTGTTACTGATACTATTATTTTATAAAGTAGAAGAAATTTATTATTACTTATTTTTTTTTTAAAATATATATAAACAACAACATTATTATTATTACTATTTACTTTAATTGATTCGTCACATACAAATAAATAAAAGTTGTCATATATTTTTATTATTAATGTTAATAGAATTGGTTGGTTGATTTGTTTGTCGGAAAATTATATAACGTCGTTTTATTTAATGTTTTTTTACTTTTGAGCAGATCAATATTTACCAAGTGTTAATATTATAATAACCAAAAAAATATTCTTCCATCTCATTCTATATTGTTTAATCAATATCCAAATTTTTCATTCAAAAAAGTTTTTCCATCACCTAAAACAAATGTAAAAATATTAAATATAAACCAATCAATATATTGACGGGCGTAGGCGAGCGAATAGATATAACACACATAAATATAAATAATAGATGCCTAATTGATCATTAGGTGGTTCCCAAGTAGTCGCATCTTCCAATTCAAGTTCATTATTATCTTCATAAATTTTTAATTGTTCTTGATGCTGTTCTAATGTCATTGGAACATTCGCTTTAAATTTAATTTTTTTAGTTTTTTTATTGTTTGTCGAAGTTTCTTCTGCTGTTGCTAATTCCGTTGCATTATTTTCTATTGGCACATCATCCTCATTATTTGAAGCTTGTATCACTGATGATTTATCTTGATTTTCTAAAGGATTTTCATTTATCTTTTGTTCTTTTTCTTTTTCAATAATATTTTTAGTATCATTTAAATTATTTGTTGTTTTTATATCAAACGGTCGTGTAATTTCAATTAATTTAGCAAGCTTTTGTTCTTGCTACAGTATAATGTAAATGTAACGTTAACATAACATACATAGAGTACTTTTACGCAATTAATTAATAAATAGACCAATTGGTTGGCCCATTAATTAAAATACCTTTAATAAACCATTTAATGAATTTTCTAATTCAGTCTTTGATTCAATTTCAAGATCATCATTAATTGAATTCATATATGAATCTAAATCATCATCAACACCGTTATCATTTCCATCTGTTTTTACTTTTTTAGAAGCTAAAGAAATTTTATTTTGTAATTCTTTAATTTTCAATGTAATCTCTTCATATTGTTCTGTCAATGACTCAAATGTCTCGACTTTTTTAGGTGGTTGTGGTTGTTTTAATTTTTTTGCTTTGCTTCTTTCAGCTAAAAAAATTTAAGGTTGTGAAGAATCAATAAGGTTGTTTTTGTGATAAAAATAATTGAATAAATTTTCTAATTACCTTGATCAGTTCTATCATAAAAACTATCAATATCATCATCGTTGCCATCATCTAATAATCGTTTAAGTCTTTGTTTTCTCAACGCTAATTAATTAATTATAATTTCGAGTATGTATGAATTATGAGAAAAATAAATTAATAAATATAGCTACAGAGATACAGGAGTGGGAATTGGGGTCTAGGAGAGGCATAATTAACACGAGCATGCATATTTATTTATGTACCTGCTTCATCTTGGCTACCACGTAAAATCCCCAACATATCTAATTTTTCACATGCATCAATTGCTGCTAGTCTTTCTGCTTCTCTAAAATAAATATATTATTGTAGATTTAATAGTTTATCCTCTATGATCATCATTATCATTATTAATTATTGATTATTAAAGTATATAATATAAACCTTTTTTTAATATTAGAACCTATTCCATAAACTGGTCCAAATTCATCTTCAACATCAGGTAGTCGTACACTAAACAAATATATTTTATATGATTTATAATAACAAAAATTCATAAATAATTAAATAATTAAATAGCTAGGATACATACCGAACTGAGTAAGTTTTCGCATTATTTTTAGTTCCTTCTTGTTCACTTTCAAATTCTAAATCATAACCTCGATTCTAAAAAAAATAGATTATATATATATATATATATATTATCTACGTGATACATCTTTATAATAAATCCCTTTTTCACATAAATAATGTTACCTCTAACCAGTTTCTTATAGCTTTTTTTGGATCTTTGTAATAATACGCATTTTCATTCTTTATCCATGAATTTTTAGCGTTTGCCATTATAACTTCGCCTTCATCTTCTGCATCTTCTCCAAAACCCCTATAATTAATTGATATATTCATAAGTAACTATTTCTCATATCTTTACTAATAAACATAAAAATATTTTATTTACCAAGTAACTCCAGTATCCATAGTTTTAGGTAATAATGTTGATTTTGGTATAACTTTTAACCCAGGTTTTTGTTGTTGTTGTTGATTTTCAGGACCTAATAAAATACATGTTCGAGTACTTTGACCAAATTTTAATTGATCACCAACACAAAGTTTCGTGTATGATTTTGACGGTAACAATCGTTTATTCAAAATTGTGCCATGTGCGCTTTCCAAATCATATATTAAAAGTTCTCCTGTTATTGATTGATTTGAATTTTGTGAGAAGTTTGAGTAATGGAGAAAATCATCGTCATTATTAGTATTTACCTTTGTTATTGAATTGAAGCACGGCATGGTATCTGGATATTGACTAAATAAAAATATATTATTGCTATTATAAAAGAATTAATTAATTTTATAAGAAATAATATGAAAATTTACAAGATGTTCCATTGGAATATCACAAGTCGGTAATCGCCCTTTAATGCGTCAATCAAAGAATCAGTCATTAATTAATTTGATAAATCGATAAATCAAATAGTTTAAAGAAAAAACTATTTACCAATTGCAAGAAATTCTTTTGATTTTGGAAAATCGATAATTTCTAAACTTATTCCATTCTTAATTACTTCAAATGAATAATCATCTTTTGGCAATCCGCTCCAATCTGGTTTTGTATATTGTAATGGTGGCGGTGGTTGCTGTTGCTGTAATATTAGTGGTTTCTGTTGTGGTTTTTCTGGTGGTGATGGTAATTTAGATGCTTTCAAATAATTAAATTGTTATAAAATATTAATTTAGCATATCTATAAACTTATCACGTTTAAATTATAATAGGATAATGTATAAATACATATTATGGTTGTGGTACTAGTACTAGTTGTGGTGATGTTAGAATTCTCCAACTTGTCGTTATCATCATTGTTGCTATTTTGTTTTGCAAGATTTTCTTCAAATTGTTTAGAATCTTGCGAAATCTGTTCTTGCTGTTGTTCATTTTCTGAATTCATTTTATAATAATAAATAATAAGGATCGGCAGATTTTACTAATTGACGACTTTTGTATCCAATTAAAGCCTTTCCATACTTTTGAGCTAATACTAATATTGTAAATAATTAGGTGCTTGGTTTAGGAACTTACTTTAATTCTCATTTACTGCTTCTTCCTTATACCTAGAAAGCTCCAGCGAATCTGTAAGTATATTTGATGAAGCTCAAAGACTTTTATAAAGTTCCTTTTTATTTACTTGTGACCGATCTATTTAGTCTTTATATATTTATTAGTCGATTGCAAACTCGCATTGGTTTGTTTACAAATCAATCAAGCTGGTTGTATATAAATTTTTTTTTTGTCTGTTCATATAATTTTATAAAAATAAAGTAATATAATAATTTACAAAATAGCTTCTAAATTAACTTTATATGAGGCTATTCCCTCTTGAAAATTTAAATTTAGCATTTCAGAAAAAAACAGATATGCCAAACAAAGTCCATGAAGTTTATTCAGCCTAAATTTAACAATTTTAACTGCACCATAGAGTAACACGTCTTCAGAGCCAAACTGTGCCAAGCAACACTTGCGTCTTGTCATCTTTGTCAAAAATAAATTAATTGTTTTCCAAACCAAAAAAAACACCAAGTGCCAATAGTAATATATATAAAAATTTTATTTTATTTTTTTAAAAAAAAGGTAAATAAAAGAAACCAACAAAACAATCACGAAGAAGCATTCGAATAAGTGTTATTTATTAAAAAGGATGGGGGTTATTGCCACTTGTCGTCATTCTAGTTATAAATTAGTTTTTTTTTTTCCATTAAAACAAAGTAAAAAGGAAACATTAGAAATGTGGCACCTATGCAGAATTTTGTTAATTTTATATAATCGCAGAAAATCGTCAAGTTATCGCAAATCTCTATTTTTGAAAGTCTCAAAAGAAAACGGCTCTGTCTTTTTTTCTCACAAGATGTAATATGTGAATATCATCTAATAAACTTAAAACATGTAAAAAACTTATCTGTATCATTAAAGAAGGTTTGAACTTTACTAGAAGGACGAGGTAAAGTAGAAGAGAATAAACAATTTGAAAATTTTTTTAACGTTAAGTTAAGTTTGGATGGAAAGTATGTGTTCATTTTGTTAGAAAAAACCTTGTCAATATTGGCCAAAGAAATACACTTGGTGGACAAAAGTTTGCGTCCAAAATTTCTTTTCAATTTATTTCAAAACTATTGTAATCTTTATATGATTCGAAAGCTCTTGCTCTTGAGAATATTGTTCGTGACAGTAGTCCCGAAGGGTTGAATATTGCATTGTCAACAATGGTTGGCCAACTAGATATTAAATAATATTTTTTTTGAAATAAAAAAAAGCCTTTTATTTATCAACACTTTGTTACTTTTATTTATTTTTTTATGGCTCTTAATTCTATCCGACAGTTAAATTCAGTTAAAACTTTGAATATATTCGTAAAACTAAAGGTAATATACATATATATAAGAACGGTTGATGTTTTTTATGCAAGATATTTCCTTATTTGTACAGGCACTGGCGTACCAGAAAATACATATATACCAAGACCTCGTTGATCCGCCTCTCCTAATACAAAAAACTCCCAAGTCGCAAATGATGATGATGATAATTTTTTCCAACAAATATATATATACTTTACGTTCTAAACTTTCTCCAACCAAACAATACCTCACTCAAAAAAGAAAAAAAAAAAGAAAAGAAATAATGAAAAATAAAGATTCTCTTTGTTACATCAAAATTATTTTCATTATTAAATTATTACATCACTCCTCCCCAAAAAACGAAAGACAAGATAAGGACAAAAAATTGAAGTTACGAGGATAAAGATCATTATCATTAAGAAATTCATGACGAGGACGGAAATTGAAGTTAATTAGAAGTTGATTAATTAATCAGTAATTAATTAACCAGTAATTAATAGCCTTGTTTATGAGAATAGAGGTAGAAAATCAATAATTAAATTATTTCTTGTCCTGTAAAAAACATTTCTTAATAAAACGCTTTTGTGGTTGGAAATTAAACAATGGGCTTTAATTATCCATTCGTTATCAGAACTCTAAAGTTTTGTTTAATTCAGATTTGATTATTTGCTTTGGTAGAAAACGAAGGTTGAATTTTTGGTTCAAGTTATTGTTAAGTGTAAAGGTTTTGTTTGTGTTTTTGTAAAAGAGCTTGAGTCAATGTAAAGTGTTAAATTGGTTACCAGTTAATCAAATATAAAGTACTGACATTTATTAACTAAGCCATTCGTTATCACATGTTGTATTGTGTTAAAGCATTAAGCGGTTTAAGGAGTTTTGTAAAGCAGGAGAATTGTTTAAAATAACTTAATTAACGAGTATTGAATATAAAAGCTTTCAATGAGTGTAGCTCTCGAATTCGGCTATTAACGTGAACAATTGGTATTAACCAGAAAAGCCACCTACCCTGCAGTATGAAGATTAGCTCTATCGTCAAAAGAATTTCTTTAAAACATTATTTATATGTTCTAAAGGTTCAACCATCCAGTTCCCTTATTTCCAGTAATTCTGATTTAATACTTGCTAAAAATAATTAAGATGTTTATTTTGAAGAATAATTTCATGTTTTCTTTGAAATGAATGAATAGTTAAATTCTTTCAAATATGATGATAATTTGTAAGTCATTTCCCAAGTTCCCGTGATCTGTTAGCCGAAATAGTTTTTGAAAAAATTAATTTCGGCAAGCAATTTTGGATTTACAATATCCTTTATATCAATAGACATAAAAAAACTACCCAGAATTTCGGTTATTGAGTTAAAGTGTTCAAATAATTTCGGATATAATTTGACAAGTAATAAAGTTGATTTCGGCAACTATGAAAAACTATTTCGGCATTTCGGATTCATTTGTTAAGAGAGGGAAATTTCGGCTAACATGCTTAATCTATAATCACAACATGCTAGAAAAAAACTAACCAGCTCAATCTGAATGGAGCAATATTCCACAGATTATTACATGATGACTTAAGTATATTGAAAATTATCAGAATACTCGGAAATTTCAGATTATACATGTACAGACGAGTTAAATATATTACCCTACCAGTTAGCTATAATATCACCAATTCCTATATTGCAAAACGGAGCTGATGTTTATTATAGTCTCCTTTTGCATAGCTGATATCTGGCACAAAATGATGATTTTTGATTTGAAAAAGGATCTGCATAGTATAACCATATCCTAGGACCCCGGAAACTACATAGATAGGTTACCCTAAATTTGGGTAAACTTCATATTGAGCGCGCGAATATCATTACCAAAAATGGCCGTAATTTGACCATATTAGTGCAGATTTTCTCAATTAGCCAATTAGATTTTGGGTAAATTTTGGGATAACCTATCTATGTAGTCTCCGGGGTCCTCATATCCTACACCAATCAATGTCAGCAATCGCCACAAAATCCACAAAATACACAATCTAACGCCTCAAGCCAATCTAGCGAGTATTCAGAGAATTGGTAAGAAATCTTTCGGATGATAAGACGTATGCAGAACGAGGGATCAGGCATGAAGACAGCTCAGAGAACTAAATTTTAGCAAAGATCAGGTACGTACACTCAACTCCATCCAAGTACCTGGATGGCGTCTGGTAGGAAAGGATCATATCAAGGTTATAGCACAAAATAAAATAATATGAAAAATGATCTCTTGCCTGAAGAGTTAAATGAAAGGGCATTGGACCTAGCTAGTTCAGCTCCAAATAATGTTACTGGATCTTCATGCCATGTATTGCTTCGAAAAGCTGGAACCGCATCATATGATTTGCAAGGATTGTATTATACTGAATATTTTCCTACCGTTTGCGCACCATAGTATACTATTGTTTTTTGTTCCGTACGTTCGTGTTTTCTAATTTTTGTAGAGAATTTGTGCGTACTCAAAATTTGATGATGAGTACTATATGTACTGTACAGACTTTTAAAAATCATTCATTATTTAGTGCGGGGGCTCTAAAACTCCGTACTAGAAGAGCTGGCTCGAGTTTGATGCCACATAAATTTTTTCAGATAACGAATGATTAATTCTATTATTTCATTTTGTTTATGCATATTATTTTCTTGAGCTTAGCTTGAACTTGAAAATCAAGGTTTAACTGGATTCTGTTCAACCTAAAGTTTTTATTCGAGTAAAACAAATAATTTGAATAAAATGAATGATTCGAATTAGAATTTGTATTATGAATGGGAACTCTAGCTCTGTTTTGCATTTCATTTTAATTTTCCACAAATATCTGAGCAAACATCATGAAATTTTATACAGTCAAATCTCGTTTCAATGAATCTTGTTCCAAAGAATTTTTGACATGATATAACGAATTTTAACTACAACTTTTTCATGCGTCACATGGATTCGTTAAGGCGAGGTTGGCTGTATGGATATATTTCAAAAAACATTTTTTTATCAGAAGCACAAATATTATTAAAACGTGGAAACTTGAATTGTTCGCATTTGAAAATTTTAAAAGTTTTTGATCTGTCATAAAATTATTGATGATGTTTTGAATGTTTTAATTATGCTATTGAATTTATTATTGATTTAATTGTATAATTATTCAATTATTTCCAGTGGTCTGCAAAATCGTGATTTTATAATTGAATTTTGAGTTGTCTCTAGATAATATTATGCAAAAAACAATCAATTTTGGCCAGTGGGTAACTAGGATCATTTGTTGCTAGAAACCCTCGTTTCAATCTAATAATAATTTCATCCGGAGATTTCCTTTGACGTTCCAACAAAAACTGCTCTTGAGAAGTCCTATAATTTAAATTAATATTTTTATCATTATTTTCATTAAAAAGGTTCTTTTTGCTGTTCTTGTACTATTTTTTTGAATCAGCAGTAGTGGCTTCATAATCCCTGTCATAATATGATGAATCTTATTACTAAATTGACTGAATCTTATTGTCGTAATAGTATTATTTTAATTAATCGCTCAATTTTTTTCAATTTATCCCATTCGTTGATCCAAATATCACATCATCTAATGTCAAGTTAAAAAAATCAACAAGCATTGTTTTTATTGTCGAATAACTCATTAACGTACGCATTACAAGCCAAAGTTTGTGTTCAAATATTTTAGAGTTTTGTTTAGGAATGCAAGTACAGTACACGAACTTTTGGACTGGGCTAAAAAGTTCGTTATAGACAGAGTTTTCCATAGAAAATTTGTAGATAATAATAATCATGTGGATAAACTTTATTTAAAAAAAAAAAATAATATACAACCGCAATTTTTTCATAAAAATAAAACTCGAAATTATTAAATTAAGAAAAAACAAATGGATCATCAGTTCGTTGTAGACAGTTTGTTACACAGTATAGAGAATTTAATTTGTTTGTTATTATTATAGAGAAAGAAAGAATGTTCTCCACAACGTGTAACGATGATAAACAAACAAATATAAATAGCCTACGGGTTGACCGTTCTACAATATTAATACTGTTGTAATCGATAAATTAAATCGACATGGCATGGAGAGTAGACAATATGTAGATGTAAACATACTAATACTAATACATTGTTGAGAATTTCCTTCTCACACGCTTAAAAGTGGCACTTAATGTCCACCGCACGGAATGGATCGGTAGAGAAACTGGTTTCGATTAAATCTTCAAGTGATACATAATGTTCTATAAATAGTTTAAAACAATGTCAATTATTTTTTTTTTGGATTTTTAATTTGTATAAATTTAGATTTTCATAGAGTTCAGCGTGTGTTTTTTTGATATATACAGCGGAGGCAAAAATAAAGACAACAAATTTAGTAATTTCATATTGAGAACCATAACGAAAACATATTTATTTTTTATTATATATATTAATAATGTGGAAAAAAATTCCTTCCATTATGATTTTTTTTTTTAAAAAATGGCCAATTCAATAAATCATCACAATTATTTATTATTAATGATAATCTTCATTTTCTTTTTATTAGATGACTTCAAACATTTGGTGATTTGTCAAAAGTTAGACATATCATATCAAAGTTCAATCATATTAAATGAAAAACTCTATTTTTTTGGAGGAAATAGTTATAAAACAGATAAAGATGTGAATCAAGTAATTTATATTGATCTATCCACAACATTTTCAACCAATCAACCATTATTACTGAAAAAAATAACAGCTCCAAAAGGAATACCTCCATTTAATGGTGCATCATTGGCATTAGGAGGAACTAACAATGACACACTTTATGTTATAGCTGGATACAGAAACTCTACTAAAAAGCATGGATCTATAGTTTATTCATTAAATATAAATTTATTTGATAAATGGACTCCAGAGAACCTTGTTGGACAATTACAATTAGCTAATCTTGATGATACAATATATGCACAAGATAGTATTGGAAATGCATATATAAAAGGTTATAATGATCCAAACATATATAAATTCGACACCAAAAATTTGATATTTACAATTTTAACACCTGTCAATTATGGTCCATCTATTATTGTAAACTTGGATTATTTAAATTGCCATTTGTTGAATGATGAAACTATTTTTTATTATGATGGAAATGATTTGACTATTGTAAATATTAAATTTATTATTATGGGATAATAAATTATAATTTTATAGTAACAATAATATATATATATATATATATTTAGGTATACTTGTACAGTATTAATAGAAATACATGGTCTAATGTTGTAAGTTCATATTTTTATCGTTAATTATATTGTCAATGAAAAAAAATATTGATAAACTTTTATAATATTAGGTAACAGTCGGTGATAAACCTACTGGACGTATGGGTCATTCTTCGATATTAGGTGATAATTAAATTTATTTTTTTTTTTTTTAAAAAAATAATAATAATATTTACATGTTTATTTGTCTATTTATCAGCACCTGACGGGAGAATAATTGTGTATGGTGGTACATTAGGAACAGATCAACTGGCAATATTGGACACGTCACAGAAACCCTTTCAATGGACAGTTCCAACAAATGTTGTTTATCCAATGAATGCATATCATTATGGTCACACTTCAAACTTATATAATAATTATATGATAATTGCATTTGGTAAATAATAATTATTTTTAATATACAACATAAATATATTAAATGATTATATTAATCATATTTAATTAATTATTTATAGGTTGGTTTCAATTTGGTTTAAATGCACCTCATAAACCTTTTCAAAATATTTTGTTATTAGACATAAGTGATAAAAATAATTATACATGGTCGCTGACCTTTGCTCCTGTGACTGCTCCTGTGACTACTCCTGTGACTACTTCTGTGACTGCTCCCGTGATTACTCGACCAACTTCATCCATTTTTCAAACACCAACCAGCACAACTGTTGATAATAAACCAACTTCAGCTACCAATGACACTTCTGCTAGTTCAAGTTCACCATTTGCAACTCCTAACGATAATAAGAGTAATGTAGCTATAATTGTTGGATCAGTTTCAGCCGGTGCAGTCTTTATAATTGCCTTTTTTATTGGTGCTCTTTTTATATATAGGAGAAAAATGAACCCCAAAACAAGAGGGATCAATGAAAATGAAATCATCGGTAGTAGTATTATTGATCTCACTAGAAATAATAATACATATGGTAGTAAGACTGAACCTGCAATATTATTAAATTAATACATTAACATAATCAAAATTATTTTATAAATTATATATATATATATATATATAACTATTCCCAATGTAAATTAAGATTTTCTATGTAATAAAAGAATTAATTTGTTATTATAATTTCCAAGTTTTAAATCTTTCTCATGTGTATTTAAGTGAATATCATAAAAAATTTTATTGGGTTATAACCACCAACTGATTCACCAGTTTTTTTTATGATAACTACAATTTGCCCAATGTTACTATTACATTTATCTTCAAAAGTTTGACCCTACAAGGATTAAAATCGTAAGGTAAATTATTTTTATTACAGATCCAAATCCTATCTAATGTCAAGTTGATGTTTTATAAGCATTGATTTTTATTTTATTTTCAATTTCTAAAATTCATTAAGGATTATATTCAATTAATGAATTAATCAAATAGTTCATTGATTGACGCACACAATTAATTCATCACAAGTTATAAAGCATCATCTGGGCTCACATGCCACGAAATAGCTTTTATTTAGTATTAGGAATGCAAATAAGTTCTTTGGATTCCGTAATAGTAGTAGTATAGGCTTTTCTTGAACTATGCAGGTTTTTTCGGGTTACTAACATTATAAAAAGCTCTTTAGTGTTGGGAGTTTCCCTCTCACTTGTTTAAAAAAGACGAATGGAGATTCCAATGTGTCATTCCGATTGGGATGGATAAACAGGAGTCATTTTATTTTTTTTTTTTGGGAGGGAAACAAAACAAATAATTTATCCACATCATTCTTGCAACATTACCAATGGAACTAATACAACGTAATACCTCCATTTGATAGTTCATCATTAGAGTTAGAAGGTAAAAAAAATTTTTTTTAATGAATTCTAAATTTTAAAGGGTTTAACTATTAAGAAACGTGTAATGATTTGAATTATTACAAAGAGGCCATTTGGAAAAGAAATATATCCACAGGAAGGTGTCCAAGTTATGTCCTTAAACAACAAATTATTCGAAACAAATATATTTGTAATAACGCAATAAACAAAATTTGATAGATTTAGTGTTTGCATCCGTTAATTATCCCGGGTGTTTGAGTACTTGGTCAATCAATAAAATTCAACCGAATAAGGTTCCGAATCTAATTCAAATATATTAATATGACAATAATTGCATTTGACTTTCCATCTACAACTCTTCTTCGAACACATTGCACTGTATAATGAAATTATCGTCATTCATCATTATTTAAATTTAAAACAATGATTGTGCAGAGCTTCTATTCGAATAAGCATACAAATACTCTAATTCATAACGAACAAATCTTATTCGAATAGAAACCCTATTAATATGACATTAAAAGAAATTTAGAACCCAGTTTGATTCGAATTCGTTCGGAGCCTTGCTTCATCTGGATAAAATTAACAATATTCTGTACCACTGATTATTTTTCATCTAATAGTCGGTCGGTGAATATCATCATTCGGCGGAATATAGCCACTAGATAGATTCATAACTGAAGATTGACCTTGCCTCATGTAAACATATATACTATCTGTAGATGAAAAAAATGTAAAGTATATGTCTAACACTAAGCGGAGTAAATTCTTTAAATACACTTCAGATCCTAAAATTCAAAAGTAAACACTAAATTTACACTTGTTATTGTTATTGCTGCAATAATCCCGTTCTGAATATTTAATTCACAGCATCACAAAGATTTAAATAATTTTATCAACAATAAACCAAGACCCTCTTACGTGCCTACACTTTGAGTCCAAAGGGTTGTTTATATTATGAAAATCTAATTAAATTATAAATAGTACATAGTAAAAAGTAATTAAAATTAATTAATAAATTGGAAAACTATAATTTTTTATCTTATATCCACAACTCGATTATTAGTGACGCCATTGTTATTATTATTATAGCTGTAGCCATTAAAATTATCTTTTTTTTCTTTTCTTCTTTTACACACAACAAAAGCAACAATGGTAATAATAATAAGGAATACACCGGCTATAACTGGTGCAATAATTATAGCAATGTTAGGAGTTGTGTTTGTGACCTCTGAATAAGTGGGTTGATTGGTAGCACTGGTGGGTTGTTGATTAGTAGTACTGTTGGTAGCACTGGTGGTGCTGACTGTAGTTATCGAAGGAACAAATGTGTCCAGCCATTTATAATCATTTTTATCACTAATATCCAATATTAAAATATTACGATATGGTTTAGCGCTATCTACGCCAGCAGTTTGAATCCAACCTATTAACAATTAATTCAACAATATGATTAATAAACATATGTAAACATATATTATATTAATATGAAGTTCAAAAGTTATTATTTACCAAATGAAATTATCATATAGTTTTTATACAATATTGAAGTGTGATCAAGATGATAAAGATCAACTGGATAAGTAATATTTGTTGGAATTGTCCATTCATAAGGAAATTTAGTTGTATCTAATATTGCCAATTTGTCTGGCTCTGCAGTACCACCATATACAATTATTCTTCCATCAGGCACTAAAAAACAATTATTTAATATTTTTTATTTAAAAAAAATTCCTTTTTTTTTTTAATTGATAATTGATATTTACCTAATACTGAAGAATGTTCATTCCGTTTAGAAGGTTTATCACCAACTGTTGTCTATTAACATATAAAGTTTATTAATATTTTTTACTAATAATAATTAACAATAAATACAATAAATATGTAAACTTACAATATTAGACCATGTATTTCCTTTAATATTGTATAAATGTACCTAAAAATATATATTTATTATCATTATAATTTTTAATATAATAATAATAAATTTTTTATTTACCATAGTTAGATCTTCTCCAATAAAAATAATACTTTCATCATTAAACAGATGGCAATTGTAATGAAATGGATCAAGATTTGGACTGTTATTGCTTAATGTTGAAGTTGTAAATATCAAATTATTAGAGTTGAATTTATGTATGCGTGTATCATTGAAACCTTTTATATAAGTATTTCCATTATTATCTGGTGTATATATTGTATAACCAAAAGTTTTTAATTCTGACTGTCCATTATAATTTTGTGGAATCCATGTATCAAATGAATTTGTGTTTATTGAATAAACCATGGATCCATAATTTATATCAATAACAGTAGGTGATGGATTTCTAACTCCAGCTATAACATAAAGAGTGTCATTATTAGTTCCGCCTAATGCTAATGTTGCTCTACCAAATGGAGGTATTGCTGATTTCGGAACAATTTGTTGTTTTATTGGTAATGGCTTATTGAGTGAAAATGAAGAGGATAGATCAATGTATAATATTTGGTTTGTTAAACTATATGAGTATTTAGCTGTATAATTAAAATATCCTCCAAAAAAATATATTTTATCATTCAATATGATTGAACTGTGAGCTCCTAAATCCAATATTTGACCAAATCCCAAACAGATGAATTTATCTAAAAATATTAAAATTGTTATCAATAAATAATAACTGCGATTAAACATTTTTGAAATAAATATGAGAAAAAATTAGTTACAATAAATAAATCTGTTCTTAAATATATTTATTATTTTGTGTAAAATCAACAAATTATTGTGAGTCGGTAAAGACAGAATTTAAGTTTCATTTTTTATTGCCCCTTTTCCAATCTAGGATTGTGAAATTTTTAAGGTTTCCCTCGAATTAAATTTAGCCCTTTGATGCAGTGATACAAAAACAAGCAAAAACAAAAACAAGAACAAAAAAAAACAATAATTAAGAAAAATTATCGCTGCTTGATAAGTAGTCAAGCTTTCGTTGAAAATTACCTAATACTAAATGCTAGATGGATTATCTTTGATACAAATATAATACATCATGTACTTGACATATTAATATTTATAGATGATTTTTATCCGATATTTTTGACTGATAATTTTTCATTGTGCCATTTGGCAATTTGACGAAAGTGAAAATTTTGACTAAAATAAAAAAAAAGTAGACAATTATTTTTTTTATGGCATGAATAATAGTTTTCTAAGCCGATAAATTGTAATAATCCTTTTTATTTACATTCGATTACAGTAAAAAAAAATTTATTTATAAACATATTATTGATAACCTTTTCTAATTCTAGTTACCTTTACTAATTGATTAACTTGGTTATTATAAGCACTCTCAGAATCTCTAAATGAAAATGGTAAATCGGATCAGTTCATTGTTTTATCAGTCAGTGTTCTTTTCAATGAATTGAAATTTCATATTGTTTCAAACGATCGTAATTATATCAATAATGGAAGTTGTATTATTGGCCATGAAAACGTGATGATGTTATAATAATAATCAAGTTATTTAGATATTACAAATAAACAAACACAATAAGGTTCAGTCATATGGGTCTGAAATTGTACATTATCAATTAAATTGGGTCTTTATCTATTTGTGTTGTATAAATTAAATGAATCTACGGAATTAGAATCTTCTATACTAATGACGATGTCTGCTCGATACAATTTCCAAATAGACTTGCTTAACACCAATTGGTAAATTTTTCACGAGAAGTTCTTCTATCATTACAATATTTGCATATTTCCAGGAAATCACCACATAGTAAGTGTACAGTATTTATTCGAGAGTTCACTTATAATGTATGGGTTTATTGTCAACGAATTTGACTATCCCGTCAAATACAAATTTTCTCAAAATTTTACATAGCTTACATTCTCATGAATATAAACTGTAAATTTCACTTGTGTGTTTGATTAATGGGTCTTAAATAAGTATAATTGAAACTGTTTTTTTTTACTAGAACTCGAGAATATATTTAAGCTTCGTGATAATATTGATGATAATTTGTAACTTTTATAATAGAACACAACATAACCATTATAATTATTATAATAAGATCAATAAAGAAAAAAATGCATTGTAAATTTTCGTTCTCTATGTTTCAAAAAATTTCATACATCTCTGTTTAATTCAAAAAATTCATCTCTTGTTTTAATTGCAGCATTAATACAAACAATTATAAAGTAGCAAGCAGTGTGTAAAA